AGTCGCATGAAAGAGAAACAGCTTGCGAACAGTACTTGATTGAGTCTCTTCAAACGAACAAAAAATGACAACTTTGCGAATGAACGTGTTCTACTTGAGATAGTCTCTTGAAGCCAAAAATGTTTGAGAACGAACGAACGATACTCGACGCAGTTTCTTGAAATAGAAAATATCAAGGCTAAGAAAAAAAATGTGTTCAACTTGAGACAGTCGACTGAAGCCCAACCTACCATATAAACTGATATGCTCTCGTATATCGTTAAAGAAAATGCCACGTTTTCTAACGAACGTTCAACTTGAGACAGTAGATTGAAGCCCAATCTACCTGTAAACAAACATGATGTTGTATCTCGTAAAAGAAAATACCAGATTTTAGAAAGAACGTGCTCAATCCGAGACAGTAGATTGAAGCCAAATCTACCTGTAAACAAACATGATGTCGTGCTTGTAAATAAAAATGCCAGGTTTTCGAAGGAATGTGCTGAACTTGAGTGTAGATTGTTTACAGGTAGTTTGGACTTCAGGCATGTCTCTCGTAAATGAAAATGTCAGGCCTTCGGAGGAACATGCTCAATTTGAGATAATCGCTTGAAGACTAAATTACTTTTCAACAGACATTGCATTTCTCGTCAATGAAAATGTTTAGATTTTCGAAAGAACGGGCTCAATTTGACAGTCGATTGATTAAGAGAATACCGCGTTTTCTGTTTGCAAGTATTATACTTGCAAACAGAAAACGCGGTATTCTCTTAAAATACAAAGGACATTTTTCAACGAATGTTTTCGACTTGAGAGTCACTTGAGGAGTACTTGCAGCAGAAATTAACAGACTTGCGACCGGACGTGATCAACGGGAGACCGTCTCTTGGTGCCGAAAATGCATGCGAAACAAACGCCCTTGTCTCTTGAAACAGGAAATGAAAGAATTTCAAACGAACTTGCTTAACTCGATAACGAAATTGCTTGCGAACAAACGAAACTAACACAAGCTTTTAACACCAAAATTGCATTTAGTTAATGTTGTGGAGTAGCTGAAAACCGCCACAAGATTGTCCGGTCTAAGACTATTTAAACAGCACTCTCTTACTGAGGGGGAGTAGTTAACGATTATAGTTAACTCTGCTTGTCGTCGTTTTTGCCTGTAGGCGGAGAGGAACCCAGACGAGGCTATGTCGAAGGGTAAATGTCTTGTCAGGGGAGAAAAGCTACCTGACCCAGTGTGTACGGGGCGTACGGTCAATTTTTGCTCGAGCCTTCGGGCTCGGAACGCCCCACGTAAAAAAACCGGCCTTGTTCCACATCTCGCTTTTTAGGGAGGTCTCGGGTAAATACTGACGAGTTAACGATTAGATATCGTTAAATCTCGACTTAGTCGACCTCTCCACCTTCTGGCAGAGATGAAAACAAACGAGGCTATGCCTACGGGCAGAGTCTCGTCTGGGGAAGTAGACAACTACCCGACCCCGTCTATGCGGGGTCTACGGAGAATATTTGCCCGAGCGTACGCGCTCAGAAAAAAAAAAAAACACGTAAAAATCCAGACTTGTGTCACATCTCGCATTGTGGGGAGTTCTCGGGTAAATACCGAGGATTTAACAATTAACTGTTTATTAACTTAGTCTGCGTTCTCAACTATGTACCATATTCTCCGGACTAAACTACTACTTATATTTCTATATGCATGTCAACCTTTCCTATTTACGACACAACCGTTAAAGAGGATTAGCTAAACAGATTTACGAAGAAAGCCGTCGAAACTAAGTCTATAAAATTTCATAGGCATAAATAGGTAAATGTTACAGAAAAAAAAGAAAGAAAATTCATAAGTGATAGCTTTATGATATGAAGATAAAAAGAATATTTTCGCCGAAATTAAATAAAATGAAACAAAAATTTCACCTAAATAGAGGATTTTTTTTTATCTCTCTCTCTGATTCCGAGTCAAAACAAAGTCTACGATGCATACATTTTCAACCGTCAGACAATGCTAGTGAGGGTACCCCCACTTTAGAGAAATGTATCTGATAATGGACTCAGGGAAAGTTTACGTTTTATGAAAAATACAGCACAGTCATAGAGCTGAAAGGTTTAGAGATAAGAAAAAAAAAGTAGTTTTATTTGTATGATCTTCGCCCTCTCTAACCTTCTAACTTTCTCTTCTTCAATAACAAGATGTCTTAATTTTCAAGTCTGTTTTTTTTTTTACTGCTCTTTGGACTGCCTTAGCTGAAACTCCACTCTCACGTGCCAAAAGTTGATGGACAAAGTTTGAGTTTTTCTAATTGATCTCTTTAGTTCAAAGTTGAAATGATGATCCCTCTTCCTGTTGTGACTTCCTGATCCAGTTTTGCTCTCTATTGTTCCCTCTTTTTTAAACTTATTCACCGTTATCTTGGATGGTACTTCAATGTACTTTGAAGACCGAAGCCAGAGTATGAATGCAGGTAACGTTAATGAAGGTCTGAATGATCTTTTTCCTCTCAACATTGCTCAGTTGGGAAGAGAATTGGGATGACACAAAACTATTTTAACCTGATCTCTTCCTAGCTGAATAACTTAAATGGTTTTTCAGTGATTTTTACGATAATCGGTTTCAAGAGAGCTAACATTTGTCCTGATAAAGTCACCCAGAGGATGAAACGCGTCACCTAAGATAAGTTTTCCTTTTGTCCGTATTTTATTGCTCTATTACAAATATATACAGTGGGGGCGTTAATTTTCTCGAAGAACTGGAAAAAATGTTTCGTGGAGCATTTGTTCTTATTTCGCTTTCATACACAGAATACCTATTATCAGGATTTATACCAAAATAAATTAATACATATAACAAAATAAAATAAAATAAAACACCAACAACCACTTTTTAGTTCAAGCTACCACCACTAACTACCACCATTATAACTACATTCATGGTTTTATCATTCTCCCACCACCGTTACTAATCATTTCTACCAATTTACAAAAACTACTAGCTAATTATATTATCACTGTCTCCAATCCCTTGCAACATTACTATCACATCATATCATAGACCAGTTATTAAATTAAACTACCCTCTCACCCAGCACATTAAATATTAATCACCATATAAATTAACCAATAAGGATTACAAATTTCTACCTGTTACATATACACAGTCACCAAAAACAAACAAATAACCAGCTTTAAATATAACAAATAAAACCCCATTTTTTCAATAATTTAAAAATAAATTTAAATAATAATAATTTTTACCTATCATAATTTTACACAAACCACACCACACGTATATACATACATGCGAGGAAATATATGCGCGGAAAAATACATAATATGACATGTATACATTCACGAGACATTTCCGCCACACTTCCAATCTTTAAATTTCAACATACAAATGCGTAAGTATAGACACAACACCACCCGTATACATACACATGTCATATCCGAAACTGCCCACATATGTTTATATGAGACCCGACGGACGACCAAGTATGTATATGTGTCTGCATACATCGATGTTTGCGTTAGTACGATGACATAAGCGACGAAATTCCCCCCCCCCACTTCCATAATAACACTAATACACGCAATCTACATAAACCCAAATTTTTTAAAAAATTAATCAGTTTGTCTGACGATCGCTAAAGCGTGAAACCCAGGGTCACAAATCTCACATCTATCCAACCAAATATGTTAGCTCTATCTCTGATATTGAGCGCATTCTAATAAGTACCGCTTATATAATATATAAATAATTATACATATATATATTTATTTATATTTATATACACTTTTCACATTTATATATATATATATATATATATATATATATATATATATATATATATATATATATAGATACACACATACATACATACATACACACATATATATATATATATATATATATGCATTTAATAATTAAATTATTATGGGATTAATTTATGTGTCATATATTTTAAGTAATAGGAGCTTATTAATTTAACAATTTTCTTTTCTTGTAACATTTTCAGAGTTATTTATAAATCTTTGCCATAGATTTATATTTTGATACAATTTGATAGCGGCAATCTCGAGAATTTTTCGTGTAAGTAAGTTACTTTCTCTGTGGTATTTTTTTTAGGTCAAATTGTAGTTGAATTTATTTTTATGCATAAAAATTGTTGTGTATTACATACTTTTTTTATTCATAGATATATTTTTTAAATTTCTCTAACTTTCCCCAATGGATTTTGAGATGAATCTGTGACAGTTTATTTTATATATACTTGCTTTAGAATTATTGTTGTGATGGGTGTTTAGTTCTGATCATATCCATAACAGTTTTGGATGTGGCTGTAATTATTTTGATATTTTTAAGACTGGATAAATTGTTTTGTATCGTGGATTTTAAGGAGTTAGTAGGTTGTATTATACGTCTTTATTTTTTTTTTATCATGTTTTGTGTCATTGTTATCATTTTTGCTGTTGTATATTTTTATGCCTTTCTCTTACAGTTATAGACAAAAAATGAGTCTCCACAAAGATAGTTATATTTATGAAAAAAAAAAAAAACAAAAAATACATTGTCATAAAAAAGACGCAAAAAGAGACGCAGAAATTATTAAAAATGAAGACAGTTCCTGCATTATTCTCAAATAGATTTTATACATATGTCAAACAAGAGGTTATACATAAATATTTGTCACTAATTTGTTCCACACAGCGTAATTATAAACTATGAACGAAACAAGCAGGATGGAAAGATAAAAAGCAAGAAGGTCTTACTTGTAATCGTTCCCGAAGGAATGAAGAGACTGGCCAATGGTGTTTCTTACGAACTTCAAAATACCATATAGCCTCTTCTGTTTTGCCTACTGCTGTGGGCCTTAGCAGTATCATACAAGATTCACTATTTAACTCAGAGCTGGGGAAGATGTGGTGGATTCATATTTTTCCCATGGATCTTTGCGTGTAAATGAATATAAAGGAAGCCAAGTGGAATTGGAACGCAGCTCTCCGATCTCTCTCATCAAAGTTTACAGCACCTGATATTCCCAAGCGGTATCCTATCTATTACTGACCAAGTTCGACGTTGCTTAACTTCGGTAATCGGACGAGGACAGGTGTTTCAGCATGGCATGGTCGTAAGCCGCTATGTGAGCAGTACACAACGGTAAAATCTTTTGTGGACAGAATAATCGTATAACTTTCTTTGAATTCTTTCACCATTTAACTCACTTTTTCTCTTTCCTTTGTTAGTTGCTCCCTTGAAATGAATGAACATTTGGAATCATCCGTTGGCATTCTCACTTACTACTTCATCATCATTATTATTATTATTAAAAAAAAAACAAAAGCCATAGAAAGCTTAATTAAGAGGAAACTGAATATGTTATCACTAGCTGGAAAAGCTGCCTTCTGGGAACTAAACTAGACATTCCATCTTGAATAGGTGCAGGGAATATCCCCGCCCCCAACAACAAAAATAATCAGGACGATTATATTTAAAAAGGAGATTCCACCCGGAATATGCTGCATTCTCTTTTGCAATCTTTTGTAATCACTTAGCACAATTCATTATTATGATAAATAGAAACCTTATTAATTTTTTGTTTAATTATTTTCCTTTTCATCTATTATTATTTTTCACCTCAGCCTTTTCCTTCTTTATCATCATCTTATCCACCATCATCATAATAATCTGCTTCTTCCCATTATTATTATTATTATTATTATTATTCACCTAAGCTTTTTCCTTCTTTGTCATCATAATCTTCCTATTATTATTATTATTATTATTATTATTATTATTCACTAGTGCCATTTCTTTCTTTGTCATCATAATCTTCTTCCTATTATTATTATGATTATTATTATTCACTTCTGCCTTTTCCTTCTTCTTTATCCTCATCTTCTTCATTTTTCTACTTCTCATCCTATTCACCATCATCTTCTTCTTCCTATTATTATTATTATTATTATTCCCCCTGCCTTTTCCTTCTTCTTTTTATCCTCATCTTCTTCATTTTCTACTTCCATCCTATTCACCATCATCTTCTTCTTCCCATTATTATTATTATTATTATTATTATTATTATTCCCTCTGCCTTTTCCTTCTTCTTTATCCTCATCTTCTTCATTTTCTACTTCTCCAACCTATTCACCATCATCTTCTTCTTCCCATTATTATTATTATTATTATTATTATTATTATTCACCTCTGCCTTTTCCTTCTTTGTCATCATCTTCTTCCTATTATTATTAGGATTCACTTCTGCCTTTGCCTTCTTTATCCTCATCTTTTTTCTTTCCTTAGTTAGATAGTTGGTGCTGAACATTTGGAATCCCCCGCTGACGATCTCAAATTATTATTAATCAAATATTTTAATTTGCTGTTTGATAAAGTCATTTTCCAGGATTTCCACCTGAGACCAAACGTAAATGAAAAGCTTTTCATTGAATGTTATTGAAAGAGATTGGTTTCTAGGTATCTGAGCAGTTCTTAATTTTTTTTCTATTTCTGAAAAAAAAAAAAAATGTTATCTTATTTAAGTGTGCACATTTAATTAACTAGTGCCACACTCCGATCGGTCCCAGAACTTTCACCAATTGCTACGAATGGATGTTCCCAAATAGAGGTGTCGTATTTTCAGCGCTTATTGCAACTTAAACTCAGCCCAGACGCCAAGTAGAACGTACATACGAGCTATCACTAAAGATTCTGGGGAATATAGTCGGTTCTCTACACCGCTCAAGTAAGTACCCGGCTCCTCGTGGTATCCCTTACATTTACAAGAGCCAGATCAGGCCTAAAAATATAGCGGAAGCTGACCAGTTTTCACTTCCCAATCTCGATAGAGTTCAAAAGTGTCTCCTTGTTGGTGACGAATTATTTTCCACCTAACCACCCGTTTCCCCGCAGACGAAACGTCGAAAGCCACTCGCTGCTCTATTGCTATATCCATGGAGAGCATTCAGACGAACTACACTCCTTAGTCCCCCCCCCAGTCCTAACATTTACAGCTAAGGCCCGCCATGCTACAGCCATTATATCGAATCACCCTCATTACCTTCTATTCCTTTGATGAAAAGCTTCATCCCACGAAGCACTGCTTTGTGGAACCGACTCCCAAAATGATACTTCACAGATCACTACAAACTTAACCTGTTCAAGTCAAGGGTTAACCGTTATCTTCCTCACCTGTCCGCATAAGATGTTCTACTTATTCTGTAAACCTCGACCTGATTTGTGGAAACGACTCCCAAGAGGATGCTTCTCTAGTCACTGCAATCTTAACCTGTACATGTCTACAGCTAACCGTTATCTTCCCCATATATCCACATATGATGTCCCACTTGATCTTTAAGCCTCTACCTCAAGTGGCCCTCGGGCCTTACAGGGCGAACATTAGAAAATATTATTCAATTATTTATTTTGATTTATTATTTGATACAATCATATCTTTTATCTGAAAACTTAAGATAAATGAAAATTTTTCTTTGAAAATTATTTGAAGATCTCCCCTCCCCCCAAATAGGTGATCAGTTACTCATTAACACAATCATTTTTCTGTATCAGATAAAAATGGATTTCCTAAGACTTTCTTAATTCGGTTCTCTGTCTACTTGAATGATAGTGTTGTTTAAATCCTACATTCTTGTAATATTTGAAGAGTTTATCAATTTTTTGGATGGCAAGAAAAGTTTCAGTAAAACGCTGTGGTCTGCTATCCGATGATAGTGGAAGCGTACTCTCGTAACGAGCGGTTAATGTTGGTCGAATGGACAGTTCTGCCCCATCGTCGACCTCGGTCTAATTTTTACGCCCTCCAAAATGGGCTTATCAAAGAGACAGTTCAAAAAGTTATCGTGTCAAGACGAAACGAAATAACAATTAAGCACGTCAGCTGTTCGCGTCAGAGAAAACAAAATTCAAAACAAGTGGAAAAAAGAAAAGGAGAAATGCACACTGAAACGGAAAGAAATGACGAAAGGAGTTAAAATCGTGTCATCTCGTTCAAGTGTGCGCATACATACATAAAATGGCTATATTATATATATATATTAGTTATTGTTGAATCAGACCAGGGAAAAGTAGTATCACAAAGCACTCATTACACGTGTAAAAAAAAAAAAAATAACATGTCGTGCTTTTAACTTTAAAAATTAGAAGATCAGTTTATTTCGTTACATATATAATCCCACAGAATCCTAATAATGTGTTCCCAGTAGTAATGGTCCACTTATTATTAGACCACAGAGAAAGATATTAGAGCTTTTAAGTTACTGGGGTTGAAGATAGAGATCATTCTTAACCTGAACACCAATACCTTTAAACCTTACCATATGGAACATGAAACTCCTAACTACATTAATTCTGACTCGAAACACCCCGATACTATTTTGAAGCAGATACCAATTACGGTAGGCTTTAAAATTAGTAACCTTTCATTTAACAAGTATATATTTAATAAAAAAAAACAAAGTATCGTGGGATAATGCACGAAAAAAAAAAAAAAAGTGATTTTAAAAATAAACTATCTTACATGAAACCCAAAATTAACACTAGGGTGAATAAAATGACTTGCAAACATAAAAATAGAAAAAAAGAAATATTATATGTTTCACCCCCACCAAAATTAACATCGGACAAGATTTTTTGAAGCTTATAAATAAACATTTTCAAAATAACCACCCACTAAGTAAAACCTTCAATAGAAAAACTATTAAAATAAGTTATTCCTTTAAAATAATAGATTCCCACAATAAAAGATATTTTAAATAAATTCTATATCAACAATATATCTGGTATGTATCCCCCATGTAATTGTAGAAACAGCGAACTTTTCCCAGTCAAAGGAAAATGCAGATCCTCGAATGTGATTTACCGAGCAACCATTTATCCCAAGTAAATCTTAATTTGTCAGGTGAAATGATCATAATTATGAGGTAATTTTAAATTCGTATTGTATGCAATATATATATATATATATATATATATATATATATCAAGAACGATTTAGAGAAAAAACTATGACAAAGTGGAAAACGTTTTCGTGTGATGAGTTTCATCCATTAGGACTTCATCAGATAAGTTTAGGGTTACGCTGCGAATTTTACATTTATTTTTAATGCCTTTTGGTTATATAATCCAACTGATTTAGACTGTTTCTATTTTTTAATGTGATAATTGCTGAAACATTGTAAGAACCTCGACGCAAATTTACAACTCATGATCTAACGATTAAAGCACTTTCTAAACATTTTCCCTTTAGTGACTTGTTTTATCTTTTAATCGGAGTAGCGTTTTTTGAATAAAAAAAAAATTGTAGTCAGACTCTTTACGCTGAGCAACTAATGTATTTAATGTGTTGTTTTGTAAAAGATCCCTTTTGTGTTCATATAAGTATTCCTTCGTGGCATCAGCTTTGGGTTAAATAACTTGGTTTATTGGGCACCCTAGTCTTGAGTGACAACAATCTAGGAGAAGGGAAAACTGACTACCAAACAGTGAAAAAGCACTACAATATATTTCCCAAGATTACATGATTATTCATAGAAAAAGGAAAATGAAGCTCTGGAGAATGAAAATGGCCTACGTCCCGAAGTGACATAGCATTTAAAAAAAAAAAAAAAAAAAAAAAAAAACACAGTTATCAAGGCAAAAAGTATAATAGGTGAATCGAGTTCAAATTTTGTCCCAGTTTGTGGTGTTCACTTTCGCACTAATACTCTCGGGAAAATCATGAATCTATCTTTTCTCATCCCCCTACCTATCCGTTAAAATATCGAGTAAATGCCTTTCCACCCCAAAACTGAGTGAAGGCAACTGTAAATCATATGCTTCTCTTTCACAAGGAAGCAGGGGAATTTTCAGATAAATATGCCTATCGCCCGGTTCACACTTCTCCCCAGTCTTTTCAAACAGAGTAGAGGTTTAACTCCTGTTTAGAATTGTGTTTAGGGTTCCTTCTAAAGTCTACTTTAACTGTAAAATTCTTACACCTAAAGTGACAAAATTTGTCCTAATTTTAAGTGAACCTGGTTAGTAAAGTTGAATAAAAAAATACACTTTCAAAAATTTATTTGAAACTTTGACACCTGCTAACATAACAAAAGCAATGCCAATAATGAGGAATGATTCCTCG